CCAGACTGTGCTTGATAAAATGTGTGAAACAAAATGGACAACAGATTGAATTGATGTGATGAAGAACTGGGTGGAAACTGTACAAGACAAACTTAGCTTGTTGTCTGGGGCCCATCGTGTATAGATTGTGTTTGGTTGGCGTATGACTGGAGGGTATTACCAAACTACGTGGTCACAAATACAGACACAGCCAAGTTGTAATACAGTTAAAAGGCGGGTTGGTCCCCACTAAATGCGAAAAAAACAGGACTCGCTTGGCAAACATGTGTGAGCAAAATGGACAACTGATACCTAAACCAGGCAGTGTGCACAAGAGCAACACATGGCAGAACAACCTCATTCTTACTTCATGGTGGAGTTAGGAGGGCCTCTCTTGACGTTTCCAGAACAGCATGAGAAGATCTGCCACTTTCAGATGACTCAACGTCCAGCCTCAATTGTTTGTTCTTATGTGTGCTGAAATAGAGAAAAATTATTCAAAGCAATGAGCAGTTTTTCAACAGTAAAGCAATATTTGTAAATAAATCAGTTCGTTGGAGAGAAAAGCATATATTGGAATGAACATCTTATAATCTCTGTGGTTGGCCCAAAATCATATGTATTTTACTAGGTTGACTTATTTTGGGTTAAAGTGTAAAACGTGTAGCTTGTTACAGTATTTCAGTGAAAGCTACAACTGACAAAAGTGGAATAGCACGCATTACAGGGTTGTTTTGACTGTGCGTTGAATACATGGTGTACCTGTCAAAGACAAACGTGGCTAGTGTTACGGGCCCATGTAATGGACATGTTTTGTTTTATGTATGAATGAAGGTGGACGAAATCAAGTGAGTAAATGTGGAGGGTATCACCCCACACAACCGTTGGTCCCCCAAATACAGACACAGAAAGTGTGTTAGAGAGTGGTCCCCACTTAAATAGGAACACAGACTGTGCTTGATAAAATGTGTGAAACAAAATGGAAACAATCTACTGATCTGAATTGACCTGTGAAGCCGCAATGTGTATACTGGTACAAGACCAAAACTTAGCTAGTGGTATGGGCCACGTGTAAATGGATTGTGTGTTTTGTTGGCTGTGATGAAGAGGGACTTAACCCAACTGCCCGTGGTCCCCACAAATACAGACTCCCAGACACGTGTGTAATAACAGTAACGACGGGTTGGTCCCACTAAAATGAGGAAAAACAGACTCCCGCATGGCAACACTTGTGTGCGCCAAAAATGGAACTGATCACCTAACAGGCCGTGTGCACAAGAGCAAACATTGCAGAACAAATCAATCCTACCTTTCATGGTGGAAGTTGAGGGCCTCTCTGAAGTTTCCAGAAACAGCAGACGAAGACTGCACTGTCAGATACTCAACGTCAAGCATCCAATTTTTGTTCTTGTGTTGAAAATAAGAGACATAAACCTCACATAGGCAATGGGAAGTTTTTCAACAGTAAAACAATTATTTAGGTAAATAAATCAGCTAGTTTTAGAAGAGAAAAGCATACCTTGGACATTGAACCTCACTATCTTGTGTTTGGACCCCCAAAATCATATGTATTTTCAATAGGTTGAACTTATTCTGGTTAAAGTGTGCGAGTTGAGCTGTTCAGTATTTCGTGTAAGCTACCAACTGTAAACAACGTGAATAGCAAGCATTACAGGGTTTTTTTGACCTGTGATAGAATAACTGGCTGTACCCCTGTACAAAGACAAACGTTGGTAGTGTTACGGGCACATGTACTGGACACTGTTTTGTATTCTGTATGAATGAAGTGACGATTCTAATGTGAGTAAATGTTGGAGGAGGGTATCACCCAACAACCCGTGGGTCCCACAAAATACAGCCACCAGACAAGTGTGTTTAAGTGTGGTCCCCACTTAGATTCGGAACACCAGACTGTGCTTGATCCAATGTGTGAACCCACAATGGGAACTGATTGAATTGACTGTGATTGAAGAATGGTTGTAAACTTGTACAAGACAAACTTAGTAGTGGTTGGGCCCCACGTGTAATAGATTGTGTTTTGTAGGCTGTTATGAATGAGGGTATACCCATAACTACCGTTGGTCCCCAACAAATACAGACACCAGACAAGTGTGTAATAACCGTAAAAGACGGTTGGTCCCCACTAAATGAGAAAAAACAGACTCGCTTGGCAAACATTGTGAGACCAAAATGGAAACTGAACACCTCAACAGGCAGTGTGCACAAGAGCAAACATTGCAGAACAAACTCTTCCTCCCTTCAAGGTGGAAGTTGAGGGCTCACTTGAAGTTTCAGAACAGAGAGAAGGACTGCACTGTCAGATGACTCAACCGTCAGCATCACTTTGTTCTAGTTCTGAAAAACAATACCTCTAACTATACTATATATTCATTATCTATTCATTATGAAATCACTTGGATGTAGAAGGCAGACCCCCCAGTCTATAGTTAAATTCAAGAAAAAAATTTCTGGATAATGAAATGTTTCATAGAAGCAATCATTGTAATCATACTATTATGACAAACCTGTTTTTCCTATGGCCAATCTTTTTCCCCCATCGTATATGTGATTTCTTGTCCGGGATGAATTTCCTCAATGCAAAGAGGAAAAGGTTGTGGTTTGCCCTCTATTTTATGACCCTCTTCATTTTGCAGTTTGGGTGCTGTGGTTCATCATTGACGAGTGTCCAACGGCTACCCCTCTTTCGGGATGCATCATATTGAGCTTGGAAAAACATATATTCATATTATATTAACACATTACTTTCCCAATTAAATGAAGGTCATAATCTTTAGGAACTGGCTTTATTACATGCATCATTTGAGCATTATAAAAGTCTCTGCTCTTGGAAAAATAGGCTGACCTTTATCAACAACCTTACCCCATCTTTTTCCCTTCCCGTAGAACTATAAAGACACACCGGGCATTCGCTTGTGGGTAAGTCCTCCTCTTCTTTGTCGATACTTCCCCGTTATTACTACCTCTTAACTTCAACCACGACGTCACCCCTTTCCCCATAGGGCCTATTGGCCACAACACCCACGCCTAGAGACAAACATCCCATCGATTAGGCCAGGCCATATAAATAGACACTCCCCCTTCCTACCCCGTGCAATTCCCCGATCTATGCCCCCCCAAAGCCCGTCCATAAAATACAAAACTCTTCACCACCCTATCATACTCCCCGCTCTATATTCATCCCACACCCTCACCCCCCAATTGCTTTTAACCTTATGTTTCAACACATGTCCCGCTGCACCTGTTATTTTTACAGATTCAATTTACCCACTTCCCGTTCAATCACACCACCTAGTCTTATCTAAAATAGCGATGCTACAGGCTTCCGAATTACTACCACGCCCCATAAGCCCACTCGCAACCTTATAGCCAATCATCCGGTCAATGGATGTTTGCATGGCCGCTACCTTGTCACCCCCAGTGTACCTATGTACTGTATATGTAAAATACGCCCAAACTCCCGCATTTCTTTGATCTCTGTCCTGAATATGTATGTGCTCCCCCCCCAACAGTTAGTATACAGAATGCGTTGTCATCAAACACCCCCCCCCCTAATCTTATCCATTACCCAAAATGTTTGCAATGTTTCCACTTACATTTTCCCCCCTTGAGGTGCCTTGTGACACTTCATTTCCCCCAGTCTTCCAAACTGGCTGTTGCGTTACGGGCTCCTCCGTCTTCTCTGCGTACTCCGCCATTAGCTACTGCCGCTGTCATAAATATATTTCCCCCCGTAACTCCCCACCTCCCTCCCTCACCCTCCGCTCCAAAGTTTTTATTAGTTGACATGGCACTTGAACAGCCCCACGTCTTTGTTCTCCCGCCCTCTGCTGCCAGCTGACCCGTAGCGTCGTCAGCTTGCCGGGTTCACCAAGGCACCCGCATCACGTGCCTCGCGGTCACAACATCATAACTTTTATTCTTTTTTTAGTTACAATTCACCAATGCCCATATTATCAACAGGCATCCGTATCATTCAGGTAGTGACAACTTGTGCATTCCCACCATTTACCATTTCCTCTTGTAGTATCCCATTTGGTTTCTCAAGTTTTTAGTAATCCGCGCTACTAGTTCAGAAATCGCCAATTCACCAATGATATAGCCTCAAGTTACACGGTGGCTTAGGCATGTGTTTTGTGGTTTGGGAGTGTGTTTTGCATATTTTCTGCTTGTGCCTGGGGGACAACTGGCATAATGTCGGTTGAATTTCCACACTTCACTGCTAAGCCCGGTTAGACACTCTTGAGTAGCCTTCGGCTATGTTCTCTAATACTGTTATCGTGAAAAATGTACTTTTGTGCTAATTGTGTCAAGCCATTATGATGTTAAAAAAAATGACCCACCCCCTACAGTACCCTTAATCGGGTTAATGAATTGCACATCCAATATCCACCGTCTTGTCTGTGCTTTTGTCGGGGTATAGTCGCGTCCTCCATGGAAGTTTCCTCCTGCTTCATGTTGCCATTTGTTATTCCTATTTTGAACTACAAAGCCTGAACATTGACTCGAACACTCCATCCTCTTTTATTTTTATAAAATTATGCTTTAGTTTTGTCAGACAGCCAAATCTACAAACATTACATAGAGACAGATGACGCAATTATTTTTTACCAGCTTTGAATTAAGAGAAGTAAAGACCCTGGTGGCCAACCCGCAGACATATGATATGTTTGACTTTAGATACACAACACGCCAATCGTTTACTGAATATCAATTCTATTCATGCAATGCACTGTGCTGTGCTGGTAGAAATGGGCATGGGCCACTTGTTAGCTTGGTATGCTAACAAGAGGTAACTATATGAACAACTAAGTAAAGATTTGATCTTCAATATTTTGAATTGTTTACAATATTGATATACATAAATATGTTTTAGTTATGTCAGACCAGGTAACATGTAGACCAGATTACATAAAGAAGATCGTTTATTTATATTTAAGTCCAGAAAAAACAATCAATCAATGGGTCTGTGCAGGACGTGATCCTGGTGCATGTACCCACACTCAACACCCTGGTAGCACCCAGCAGATATATAAATAAGTCCCCGTGCGCCGTGCTGTGGTTCCCGCGGGAGCCCTGGTGCGCGTGCGACGTGGATCCCGCGGGAGCCGGTGCAGGTGCCGATGCACCGTGATCCCGCGGGGCCCCGGTGCGCATGCAGACGTTAGTAGATCTCGCGGGAGCCCGGTGCGCTTTAGGACGTGGGATCCCGCGGGAAGCCGGTGCAGGTGCAGATGCAGACGTGGATCGCGGGAGCCCCGGTGCGCTGCAGACGTAGATCCCGCGGGGAGGCCCCGGTGCGTTTCAGACGTGGATCCCGCGGGAGCCCCGGTGATGGTGCAGATGCAGCCGTGGATCCCTCGGGAGCCCCGGTGCAGATGCCGACGTGGATCCCGCGGGGCGCCGGTGCGTGGATCCCGCGGGAGCCATACAGACGTGGGGAAGCCCGCGTGCTCAGCCGGGGTGGGAGTACGGTGTTTTACAGGCGGTTTCCACGTCAGCCTCCGGTGGACACCCCAGCCAGCTGATAATAAACTCAATTAATTCCCACTCCAACACGCACTTGCTGTATTACTAATCGCATTTATGGCATTGTGATTACACTGTGCTGTAGAAATGGCGCAGGCCAACATGTTAGCCCATTAGCTTGCATTAGCTGCTCTCTACATGAGGTAGCTTGAGGAAAACAAAGTTCCTAACTAAACTAAACTAAGTCAAACTGTAGGTTTCTCAATGGCGAACCACATGCATTTACTCTCATAAACTGTCTGATATAACTCAAATTTGTTCTTTGTATAAGTATTTGTTAAATTACCTTTTTGTTCTCACTCATTCTCAACGGCTCAAGGCTGTTCCACACGCAGAGGTTTTAAAATTGTCGGCAGATATTCCAAACCTGAGAGACCCCACGTATGGCCTCACAAACACCACAGGTTTACTAGTCTGGGTCGTGCAGTATGTGGTGTACGGCAATACCAACACGTAACCCACGAGCCGATTTCACCCACGAACATTCCCAGGTCTCGAGAGCAAACACAACTTCACACTCAGAAGACATAGAGGAGGAAGGGATGAAAGGTTGTTTTGAACTCAAAAGACGTTGGTCAAAGGAGTGGAGACAATGCGAGCATGAGATGTACTGTTATGATGCTACTGTGTGAGGGATTCCCCTCTGTGCTTCAGGTATTCTCCAAGCTGCTTCGTCACCTCTCTCTCTGATTGGCTACATGTCACCTCTCTTTCTGATTGGCTACATGTCATCTATATTTCTGATTGGCTACATGTCATCTCCCTTTCTGATTGGCTACATGTCATCTCTCTTTCTGATTGGCTACATGTCATCTCTCTTTCTGATTGGCTACATGTCATCTCTCTTTCTGATTGGCTACATGTCACCTGTCTTTCTGATTGGCTACATGTCACCTCTCTTTCTGATTGGCTACATGTCACCTCTCTTTCTGATTGGCTACATGTCATCTCTCTCTCTGAATGGCTACATGTAATCTCTCTCTCTGATTGGCTACATGTAATCTATCTTTCTGATTGGCTACATGTCATCTCTCTTTCTGATTGGCTGCATCCAACAAGTTGAATATCCCCGACTTGAGAACAGATCGGTCCCTACGTCCTTCCAAGCAGATGAGATCAGTGTTAATAGGGCCCAGACTTTAATGCGTTAATTAAGATGAATTAATTACACACACACAAAAGCTGGTAATTCGTATTGCCTGCATTTGCTGCATTTTGAATCTTACTGAAGCAACAACTGCTCCGGACAACAACAAACCACATTGAACATGAATAAGCTGACCACATTGGTTGTCCCAGTGGGAAATGTTGTTATAAAAACAAACAAATGGAATCGTTGATAAAAAGAATGGTTGAGTTTGCATATCATCACAGCACATTGAGAATCATCTCAATGCTAAACATAGAGCAGCTAGACATTAGCCTGAGCACAAAGACACATTCCACCAAATGACTGCTTTAAGCCTGGCTCACTGGATTGCACTTGACTGTAGACCTAAAGGGGTAGAAGATAAGGCCCTGCAACATGTATTATATAAATATGCTATTGCTAAACTTAATTGAAAAAGTTGCACTGGTCTGTTGGACAAAAAAAAATAATATGTTGTTGGATAAGTATTCAGTCATTGCTCTTCAATGGTATACTAAAAATCCATGTGAAAATACTTAGAAATATTTATATGTTATTAAAATGTGAGTACAAAGACACACATTACACACAGCAGAAATATCTCGTAAGACATGCTGATTGGGCATCCTTAAGATTGTGGGAGGGGGAGAATCAAGGCGGAAATAGGCGTTATTTTCTTGGTGTGTTAACCACCCTTTAGGCACCAGGAATCTACAATCACACTGAGACACCAGGACTCCACGTTATCTAATATCACCAAGTAATCAACAGACCAGGATCAATGTCAAAGTTATTTGCCCAGGATCAATAATTCTGCCTTTGGGCTTGAGTAGGGTTATGGGTTAGAGGCGAAGGTTCACTGTGATTCGGATTAGGACTGTGGTTAGGTTTGGGGTGGAGAAAAGGTACACGTGTAGAGACAGGATCTAGCTTGGAAGTTACATTGACATTTAAAATGAGGAAAAGCACAGAAGAGCAGTATTTGTTTGCACTCACCCGGAGAGCACTCCCAGCACCAGGTTCAGCATGAAGAAGGAGCCGATGATGATGAGGGGGATGAAGTACAGCCAGTTCCATGTGTTCCCTGAGGCATCGTTGGCCTAAAAACACATAATGCATCTATTACAAATATGCCTTTATCATGATTAAGACATCACATGAAAGTCAATATACTGCCAATTCCATGAACATAAAACCCAGGGCATTTGTCTCTCACTTCAAACTGAGATGAGAACAGGTCCACCATACAGGCCCATTGTACATGATTTTAGTGGTAGGGGGAACCGGAGCACCTGGAGGAAACCTACGCAAACACGGGGAAAACATGCAAACTCCACACAGAAAGGCCTGGAGGTGGAATCAAACCCAGGAACTTCTTGCTGTGAATCACAAGCGCTAACCACTGCCCCACTGTGCCCCATGTATGATTAGCTAAGTCCACAAACTTCTGTATTCATATTCCTGCCCTGCCCCTGAAGAGAGCAGGAATCCAATCACAAGTTCCGCTCAGAGAAAGTCAGCAATCTCTCAAGAAAAACGCAGAGTAATACTCAGCAAATAACTGGTGGTTAGCTTTGCTTGTTGTTCCACATGTGAGATAAAGCTATCTAATGTTTCCAGATTGCGGGGTCAAAACTCACATTTCTGTCTCTCTGTCCCAACGTGCACCGGGACTGTCTGCAGCATTATGAGTGTTTGCACAAGATTGGATTGCCTTGTTTTTCATAACCCAGCTGAAGCCAATTCATTCTATTGTGTGGCTCTACAGATGTGCTCCTTTGTGGCAGCAGATAAAGGACAAGGTCTATAATGGGCCACACACACAATGAGCTTATTATACTGTTCAATGAGAGGAGGAAATATGCTGAGTTTGACTACACGCATGCGAGCCAGTCAATGCAATCTGATACAAGTCACACTACAGGCAAACAATATCCATATCGGGTCAGGTAAGGGGAAGAGCCAGTAGTACATAGGCCAGTATCAGTGCTACTATTTGAATCTAACCAAAATCAAGGTGTATTAAAAACGACTTAAACTTGGGATACCTCATTTGTTTTTTTATTTTGTCATAATAATACAGTGTAGTAAATTATGTGTCCTGACAGACAGGAAGCAGCGAGTGCGTCTGGGGAAGAATGTCTCAGACTCTCGGTGTTCTTTCTCCCCTGCTTTTCTCAGTGTACACCAACCACTGCACCTCCAGCCACGACTCAGTGAAGCTGATCAAGTTCGCGGACGGCACCACCCTCATTAGTTTAATCTCCAACAACGATGAGTTCGCCTACAGGAGGGAGGTGGACCGGCTGGTGTCCTGGTGCAGTGGTAACAACCCGGAGTTGAACACCCGGGAGACAGTGGAGATGATTGTGGACTTCAGGAAGAGCACAGTCCCCCTGCCCCCGCCCTCCCTGATAATAATAATAATAATAATGTATCTGTTTAAAATTGCGCTTTTTTGGTAACTCAAAGTGGCTTTACATGGATGATGGGGGCTGAACTCCCCCATCATCTCTGTGGAGTCATTTCGTTTCCTGGGCACCACCATCAAGCCAAGCCAAGCTGCCTGCACAGATGTCGGTGCAGTTCTACACGGCCATCATCGAGTCCATCCTCACCTCCTCCATCACCGTGTGGTTCGCTGGAGCCACAGTCAGGGACAAACAGAGACTACAGCGAATTGTGCGCTCTGCAGAGAAGGTGATTGGCCGCAGCCTTCCATCGCTGCATGACCTGCACATGGACTATTCCAACCACTCCCCTCAGGCAGGAGACTTCGCTCCATCAGGACCAAAACCTTTCAATAAGAACAGCCCCCCCCCCCCCGAAAGTCACCTTACTGCCCTTATAAAGTCCCCTTACTGCCCTTTATAATGTCACTTTACTGCCCATCATAACGTCACTTTAATTTACTGCCGTCACTTCATATTGTGTGCACCATGTGCACTTGTATATTGTATATAGGAATTGTAATAATTCTATTAAAATTGTTATTCCTTAGAAGTGTTGCCAATTCTGCCTTCTCTACTCTTTACCTCTCTTTCTGACTGTTGCACTGATAAAAATTATTCTGATTCTGAATAAAGACAGGCTGTCCTTATCTTATTACGCATTTAAGATAGATGCCCCCTGGTGGCAATTAAGCCTCAAGCATCTACTTAATCTGTTTCACAATTTAGTTTGCATTAAGTTGAATTATAAATATAATATAATGAAACATACATCTTGAGATCCAGTAATTCCAATTGATGTACACTCTCACAGTTCTTCACAAACTCTTGTTATTTGTATATATTTGATGATAATAAAGGTTGTACATGCACAAACCTCTCTATATTACTATTGCCACAGATGAATAACATTATGGCCACAAACACTAAATGCCAAGAGCCCAATTGATGTAAAACAGTGATGGACTCCTCCTACAGCAGCGCATGTAATGTAATATTGCTGCTACAAATCAGCCTAAGCACTGCTCGTCCCGTCCCGCGGCAAAATTACATAAACAACTCTGTCTTAATTAAATCCACACTAAACGGCTGCCCCTCGGCTGTTGGTGCCAAGCCTCTGCAACGCTCCCCTCACAGCTCAGGCCCCATCGTCCACCTGGTGTCAGCTGCATCCCCAGGATAGGACCTGTGGCGGCACCGACACAGAGGGCCTCATTTATCAAGCCTCTGTCTATAGCATCGTTTCCACCAGCCCTACTGGGCCCTACTCTACCTGGTTGTGTTTCCATTACATTTTAGTATCTTGTACGGTATTCTAGCAACCGACCCACGAGGAACTAGTATTGATGGAAATTCGGTGGTAACCATGGCTTCCAGCAGAACTCAGGCCAATCAATGTCAGTTAGAATGCTTTAGTACCAGCTCGGCCTGGATAGAACCAAGGGAACTAAATTATGACCTGGTACTGGTTAAACAGGGCCAGCGGAAACACCCAAAATCACAGTAGAGCAGAGTAGAGTAGCGCCATGTAGGGCTGGTTTAAACAGGGTTTTTGTGTTGATAGGGTGCATACGTTAGATCAGAAGTCGGGAACCTTTTTAGCTCAGAGAGCCAAAAAAGTTAACCCTAACCCTAACTTTAAAATATATTTCTGTGTGAGCCGTAAATATCGTTTAACACCAATTGAGTTTTACCATTTTATTTTTACATGTATGTGTGTGTATTTCATACTGTTTTCTTTTGTTTTTATCTTTCGGGCCCTGTGAAGCACTTTGAGCAGCTGGTGTTGTTGTATATTTCATTTCATTTCATTTTCAACCCCTTTGTCCATTTCTGGGTCGGGGGGGTGGCAATGAGAGCTGCCACCCAACGCTCATAGCACCAGTCCCTCGCTGATCTTCTGCAGGGGGTGAGTCCACAGGAAGATGGCTGCTCCGTCAATTGTGAAACAGCCTTGATCTTTCAGCGGGGGCTTCAGTCAATGTGGGGTTAAGTGTCTTGCCCAAGGACACAACGACAGCAGTCATCAGTGGGAGCAGTTGGAGTAGGTCCCATGGTGGGAATCGAACTCACGACCTCCAGGCCCAAAGGCCAATGCTCTACCAACTGAGCTACTGTCGCCCCATTGTCGTTGTTGTATATGTGCTATACAAATAAAATCGACATTGACATTGACATCAAAAGACGCACATCTGGCTCCCGAGCCATAGGTCCTGACCCCTGCATTAGATGGTTTTACTTAATTCTGCTCCTTTTCATTACAACTAAATGTTGTTGTTGCATTTCTTATAAAATAAAATAAATTAATTTTGAAAAGTGTTACTCTATGAGAAAACCCTCTGACTATAACGTCCTGTACAGAGGTTTTCTACCTTTTAAAACAAAAGTATTGCCTCTCCATAACATTAGAGCGCTGTTATAGATGCCCACTCAGAATGTCTGACAGAAGTCTTCTGTCGTCTGTCTCCACTCCTCTCTCGTGAGCAATCATTACGTCTTTAATACTGGATTTGGACGAGGAGGGCACAGACCCAGCTTCAGACAGGAGCATTCAAAGCAGAGCCAACAAGGAGAGGTTAGAAAGGCAGTAATGAAGACAAACGTACTTCATCAACGGCTGAAGAATCACCATCATCAAGAGAAGGGATCGGCTTTTGTCTTGTCTATAATACTATCAGATATCAAATGCGTCAGACTTTTGGCTTCAACATGATCTTGAGAATACTTACAGTATTTCAACATTTACCATGAAATAATCTATATAATATATAGTTAAACATGACTAAAAGGCCAATAGTGTCATATTGTATTGTGTAACAAGTTTAAAAGGGACCTAATCTTATTTTGTTGGTATATTGTGGTCTTTTTTAGTGTTAAATAAAACTCATTTTGACAGATAGTTTCACCCTTAGCGGTTTCTATCAATAATTATCATGCAAAAAGAGATTTGCGGAAAAACGTGTGTCTGTGGTTCTAAAGTCTAAAACACGATGGTATGTGTCATATTTATATCTTTTACTAAACGTAGTTAGAGTGAAACATGGATTTATGGTTCAATGGCAGTTGGGTTTTCTGATGAATACTGGGTTGAAACACGTAAAATTGGTTTTAGTTGGAGCTTGATAGAACTAATTTCATGGACCTGGCGCTGGTGTCTTCTCTCAGTTTGTTTGGACCTTCTCTGAATAAGTCAAAGATCGTAGGGACTGCTGTTTACACTCTTCTTTTGTTACTTTCATTGCTGCATCCCGGGGCCATACAAAATACACCTATTTTAAGGTTTATTTGTGTCAAAGCGGCAGCAGGAGCAATGCCATAAACAGTAAAGCGAGAGCTGCGAGCCCTACAAGTACGTCATCATTTTTCTGGCCAATCAGAGGCGTTGATATTAAAAGGTTATTATACTGCTTTATTACTTATCTATAACACGAAAATACCTTGCAAAGATGGGATATACATGTTTTTAATGTGTTTTATCAGATGAAAAATACTTTTTAATAAGGGTAGTCCCCTTTTAAGATCGAAGCATTGAGGATGTGGTTGCACCCTGTTTTGTTTTGTTGTTATTGCATTTCCTGTGTTCAAACTTTTAATTCTCAAATCTGTTGGATCAATAACTAAGATGACTTCTGCTGTGATTTTGCACAAATAGATTAAAATGAATAGTGTCACTGGCGATAAACAAATGATAACCAAAAAACACTGTTTTTGATGAGGGATTAATGTTGTTAAATGGTTAAAATATTATCAAAAAGACACATTTGAAGATTTTATGTCATTTTATTCTGCAGTGCTACAAGGTTGTCTGTTTTTCAGCATGCATATTGGCTCAGGTGTTAGTGTGTGATTCTTTCCCCACCCTAACTCAGTATAAGGCACAGGCAGCTCCTCATCTGGCTCAGTGGGGGAGGTGGTAGTAGTGCATTAGGTGCTCACAGAGGCACACAGCCAGAGCACACAGAGCAATAACTGAACCATCAAAGTGTTCGCCCAGAAGAGCCACAGATACACAGCCACACCCTGATCACCACAGCCGCCTATGAGGAGATTACACATGTTTATAATACTACAAAACAACTGGTCACCAAACAAAATAATAATAATAATAAGGCATCGGTTTTATATAGCGCTTTTTTCGAAACTCAAAGACTAATAAGAATAATAATGACATTAGTTTCCATTTTTGCTGCTGCTGTTAAACCATTGACTGTATATATTAACGGACGTAGTCACGCCTATCTCCGCCTTTCTAACTAACGGGCCAAAAATTGGGCTCTCATGGAGTGATTCAAAATGGCCGCAGGGGCTGGAAAATGTGAAAAAACGCATCTGCGCATGCGTCAGCCGGCACAAGCTCCATTCATTTAAACGAGTGACTTCACAGCGACTAAACTAGACTGGTCCAAAAATGTTTACTCCCCTCAGCATTGACACACATGTGGAACGGAGCTTTGGGCCAATAATTCTTATTCCGGGTCCACCCCCATCGGCCCGGCGTGGTATCGCAAGCATGTTAGCGCATGTCATTTTGGTCACTTTTGAGCCGGGACCCACCCCCACTGTGTTAAACGCATGAATAATGTTGGTGCATCCTCCTTAGCTTTGCCGTGGCCTGAGGAGGATGTTGTTGAGGAAGAGATTACACTGGTGGGGTTGTGCGTGTTGTGTTGTAAAGTTTCACTGCCCCCTACTGGCCGTGCGCTAGGACTGCACCAGTTTCTGTCGTCATGTAGACGTTGTGCACTTCAACTAAGGAGCCAGGTGGTTTTTGCTAATAGCTTTGCAGCGTCTCCGCGTCTCTGTCTAAACGGGGTCTAATATTTGTAAAGTGTTTTTAAAGAGCGACTAAACACCAAATCGACTTTTTTTTAACTCATAAACTGCATAAATATGTTTTTGACATTTTAGTGCAAATTAGATAACATCTCACTTTTGAGCCTAAAAAGGTCTGTGTGGCGCCCTCTCAACCTTTACTGTGTGACGTCAGTTTGTATGTGTGACGTGCGTCTGTCTGCGCCAGTGACATAAACCCATTCAACTCTCACACACGCCTCAGTAGCAGGTTGGAGTATTCTTGCGACATCTAGTGGATTAAAATAAAATTACATGACTTGACAACCACTGCTTGTGAGATAAATGCAGCCCGCGTAAGTTCAATTTGGTAGACGTCAGCCAAAGGTAACCCCTCCAGGCCGGTTCTCATCCCCAGCCTATCGCACGGCAAACGCCCCCTTCCAATCACCGGTCCAGCCAGGCAAGCTGCTTAAAAGCGGAGGAACTCCCATTCTCGGCCTCTTGAAGCTGCAGCAAAGAGCGAAGCCTTGCAAAGAGTCGTTCTGGAGGAATCGCTTTGTTCTACTCTCACTTACTTCGTGCGTGTCCCTGCTGTCCTCTGTCCTGCTGCGTGTCGTCTGCTCCTCCTCCACGTCGCTGCACCTGCTGCGGGTCTCGTGCTGTGGTCCGTGGGTCTTTGCCGCTCTCCTCCTTTGCGGGCTCTTTCTGCGGGTTCGCCGCTGCTCGTCTCGTCGCGGCCTGCTGCTGCATACGGCCGGTCTGGACCGGTGCGGTGGGAGCCGTGCGCATCCCTGCCTCCTCGTGCCATACGGTGTGGTCCCGTCGTGTTGTCCCTTATCTTCTGGCGTTGCGGGTAAGTATGAGATCTGCGGACGGTTTATTCCCCTCGCATTGTCCTGCAGGCTCAGTTGGCCCCGCGCTTGTAATGCAGGCTCAGTTGGCCCCGTGCATTGGTGGGCAAGCATCAGTTTAAAGCCCTCGCATTGGTCTGCAGGCTCTCTTTAACCAAGCTCCGTTTAAATCCTTCACTCTGACTGCAAGCTCCGTTTAATCCCTCAAATTGGACTGCGAGCTCTCAGTTTAATCCCTCACGGAACTGCTTATATCTGGAACTGCTTACGTATTATGGAACTGCTTACGTATTGTGGAACTGCTTACGTATTGTGGAACTGCTTACGTATTATGGAACTGCTTATGTATTACGGAACTGCTTATGTATTACGGAACTGCTTATGTATTATGGAACTGCTTTTATGGAACTGCTCATATTGGGACTGCTCATACCTGGAACTGATTATATGGTACTGCTTATACCTGGAACCGCTTATACAGTGCATGGAACTGCATATATTGGTTCTGCTTATATCTGGACCTGCTTATATATGGATCTGCTTATATACGGAACTGCTTATACATGGATCTGCTAATATATGGAACTGCCAATATATGGAACTGCTAATATATGGAACTGCTAATATATGGATCTGCTAATATATGGAAATGCTAATATATGGAACTGCTAATATATGGAACTGCTAATATATGAGACTGCTAATATATGGAACTGCTAATATATGGAACTGCTAATATATGGAACTGCTAATATATGGAACTGCTAATATATGGAACTGCTAATATATGGAACTGCTAATATATGGAACTGCTAATATATGGAACTGCTAATATATGGAACTGCTAATATATTGGAACTGCTAATATATTGGAACTGCTCATATTGGAACTGCTCATATTGGAACTGCTCATATTGGAACTGCTCATATTGGAACTGCTCATATTGGAACTGCTCATATTGGAACTGCTCATGCAATATATGGAACTGCATATATTGGTACTGCTTATATCTGGAACTGTATATATATGGAACTGCTTATATCTGGAACTGTATATATATGGAACTGCTTGTATATGGAACTGCTTGTATATGGAACTGCTTATATCTGGCTCCGTCTCCTCCCTCAACGACGCTGTCTGCCCGGACGCGGGGTGCCGCTCCGACCTGGCATTCGGGTTCCGTCTGCAGAGCCGCTGGGACGGCGTATCTTTTTTTTACAGTGACGTCATCCCGTCCTCAGATGCCCTGCGGTTCTTCACGGACGCAGCCCCGTCCGTGGGTTTTGGGGGTCTCTTCCAGGTCCAGTGGTTCGCCGGGCCCTGGCCCGACGCCTTCCCTCAAAGCATCTCCTCCGCGCTCCCGATAACCTTCCAATGTCATCCGTCTGTTTCAGAGCCCAACTCAAGTCCGTACTGCTGCTTGTAACCTGTCTCCCCATCTCTACACAGCCCACTCCTTCGGATAGGCGCCGCCACGCGCGCCGCGTCCCTTGGGCTCCCCTATTCCGCCCTCCAGCAGCTGGGCCGCTGGTCATCATCGGCCCTCTCCTCATACATCAGGCCTGACACTTCGACCATCCTGGCAGCCCAGCGCCTCTTTGCATCTCCATAAAACACTTGCAAACTTCCTGGTGGCGGCAGCAGCTGAGTATCCGCAAGCATGGTCGCAGCAGCTGAGTATCCGCAAGCATGGTCGCAGCAGCTGAGTATCCGCAAGCAATGGTCGCAGCAGCTGAGTATCCGCAAGCAATGGTCGCCGCAGAGACTGTTCGGCAGAGACTGTTCGGCAGAGACTGTTCGGCAGAGACTGTTCGGCAGAGACTGTTCGGCAGAGACTGTTCGGCAGAGACTGTTCGGCAGAGACTGTTCGGCAGAGACTGTTCGGCAGAGACTGTTCGGCAGAGA